CAGCGAAATTTCAAAGTTTGCTTATATGTTAGCCCGCATTATGTTAAGTATGGTAATTTTCAAAGTCCCATAAAAAAATTTTTGGGGCAAAACTTAATACAACCCGCCCACCGTTGGAAAGGGGATTAATAGAGGATTCACTCTGAGCTGGTTTCATTTTTTCAAGGGACATGGTTTGGTGACAGTAGCTCCGTAAACTTTCGCTTTATCAACCTCATTTATGGCATAGTGTAAAAAAGTTTTGGTTTCGAATATTAGTTAATTTACATAAAGTCATGTTTTGTTTATAAGAATTTGCAAAAAAACTTGCGAAAACTTCTATTTTACTTGTATTTTGAGTTAAATCCCTCCGAGACTTCGTTTAACAGAATTCTGTTAACGGCTTTACAGAGCTCTGTAAAAAATTTTAGTTTGTGTCTTTGCTAGTTATATTTAAATATAACTTCACACCCTTAGCAAACTCTTCAATTTGTAGTTTCATGATATGTTTTGCGTTTTTGCAAAAGGATGACAGAATGTTAATAGGCCTTAAATTATTCAAGGCTAATGAATTTCCATGTTTCTGCATTGGCCTAATTTTGGCTGTTTTCCAATCCTGGGGAACTGAGGTAGTAGGAATAGTGTTTGCAAAACGTAGCGGATGATAGAAGATAAGTGGAAATATAAATTTCTTCCTTCTTCTGCTAAAAATTTCCTGGTAATAGAAAAAAAAACGATGAGATTACTGGAAATACTACCAACTGACACGTGACTATAAGTACAAGCTTTTTCATCAATTTTTCCACACTGCTGCCCTTATCCTAACAGTTATTAGTGTTGTTTTGTCATAAGGCAAAGTGGTTAGTTATTGCATACACTATTTCCTTATTGGGGAAATGTTTCATTGCCTCACATATAAAACGTGAATTATATTCTTCTTCTTTCGTTTTTTGTATGCGTAGTATAAACTTGCATAAAATTTTTGTTTATCTTATAGATGCCTAAAATTCCTGCTGCTGGTACTGATTCGGATACTTCCCAATCCATCCAACATGGCAAAGTGAATATTACTGCCAATGACGCGGGTAATCGGACATCACCATCATATGTTGCTTTCACTGAAACGAAACGTTCCATCGGAGATGCTACTCAAAATCAAGCTGCTATGAATCCTCAAAACACTAAACACTTGATTGATCGTAAATCTGATGATCCAGCTGTTCAGGCCAACATGAAGCATAGACCACTTGATGTTCTCGATGTAAAAAGCAAACCAGAAATCGAAGAAAGCTGCAGGGATCAAAAGAAGACCTTTTTATCAAACACGAACGCGACAACTGAGATTGATTTAGATAAATCAGCTATAAATGATGTTGTAACAGACTCACCACGTCAGGCTATCAAAAATGGGGGAACTATCGCTGGTTTGAAATTTAATTTAATTGTTGCTGTTTCGAAAAATTTGGGTATTGGTTTAAAGGGTGGTTTACCATGGAAATTGAAGTAAGCGAACACACTATACTCGTTATGATAGAGAAGCATTCAAACCATTATTTTTATTTACAGATCCGAACTTAAATACTTTAGTCAGACGACGAGACGGGTACTAGATTCTACGAAACGCAATGTAGTTATAATGGGGCGTAAAACTTATTTTGGAATACCGCTCAGTAATAGACCATTGCGTGATAGATTGAACATCGTTTTAAGCACGACTTTAACAAAACATGATTTATCGGATGAGGTCTTACTGCAGCCGAATCTTGAACGGGCTATGAAATTTTTGGAGAACGACAATGAATTGAAAAGCAGCATAGAAACTATTTGGATAATAGGCGGTGCAGGTGTTTTTAGAGATGCCATGGCTTCTGACCGTTGTCATCGTTTATATATAACACAAATACAATCCAGTTTCGAATGTGATGTGTTCCTTCCGGCAATACCTGATAATTTTCAAGAAGTTAAAACCGATCCTGAGATACCACAAGGAATTCAAGTAGAAAATGGTATAAGTTTCGTATATAAAGTTTTGGAAAAACGATAACAACGTTCGACATAATAATAAGAAATTTTTCAATTATTAAAGAATCTTTCATTTAGACTAATGTAGTCTGCTCCCATCAGATCGTTTAGCAAACCTTTAGTAGGTGACGATTTGATCATTATTTTGTATCCCCACAGATTATACCTCGAAATTATTGCCCAATTGTTTCCTAAGACTATCAGCACAATTTCCACAATTGTTGACATTTGTGTCCAATTTCATCCTGGTATTTTCAGCATTTGTCCCTAATTCGATTTTATCTCCTTTAAGTGGATTAAAACGATGTACTCGTTGCAAGGCAAAAGATGGACAGGGTCAAATTACGTTACATAACGGTACAAGTTGAATTTCCACTTAAAAGGTTCCGAAAAATTGAATTGCTTTGACAAAAGCATTTACCAGAAAGGCTTAAATATTGCCTAGATAGCATTCTTCTGTTAATAAGTTAGTCCGCCGGGGAGGTATTCATAATTTCCAGTAATTGAGAAGAACTTAGTCTTGGGACTTTTTGATCCTAGTAATGCTGTTAACTGCTTAAGTGCAACAAAAAATCAATCCCGTCCGAACGTATAAACTTGAAATATGAAGAATAAAGAAAGGGAAACAAGCCATTAGAAATGAAGACAGTTCATAACTTGCTCTGATAGAAGCATTTACCGAAAAGGCTTAAATATTGCTTAAATAGCACTTTTTTGTTAACAGTTTGGTCTGACGGAGGGGCATTCATAATCTGCCGTAACTGAGCAGAACTTAGTCTTATCAACCCTAAAATCAACCCTGTCTGAATTGTATGAAGAGAAAACAGAGAGAAGAAAGCCGTTAGAAATAAAGAGAGCCTTGAACTTAATTGTGTCCAAAATTTGCACAAAAAAATCGCTTAAGACAAAATAAAATGTGTCTTATATACCAAACGAAGGTTTGGATTCTCTTTAGATCTTTGAACGTCTGTTGTCACAACTACACCTTGAGAGTAGAAAGTATCTGGAATGGTCAAATAGAAAAATTCGTTTTTAAGGAACGGGTCTACAAAGTGAATCTTTAGCCGAACTCTGTCTGCAGAGTTTCCAAATATTTAGGAGTTTCCTGCTTCTCTGCTTAGGCTAAGAAATGCGACCAAGTAGTAACATGAAGTTAGTACACAGGATGTACCCTTCATTGCCCAAGCTGCTACTTTTTGAAGGAGCTTCATGATGATCATTGAGTTAGTTTTTATCCTCAACATAAAATGAATCACCAAAAGAATGGCTGAAACTATTTGTTTGGGACCAACACGTATGTCTCCAAAATATATTCATTTCTGGCTTCGTCTCATTTGAACTGTCAAAGAGACAATGCAAAGAGTTTGAAATTTAATTTGAACTTGCAGTACAGAAAAAATCCCGATAATAGGGAGAACTGCTATCGCATTGAGCTTTTTTAACTTATATATACTGACACCACTGACGCTAATGAGTACGATTTGCGTGGTGAAAAGTTCAATTGAAAGAAAAGTGCTAAAGTTTTATAGAGTTCGAATATCGTACCACTAATAAAAACTCGTAAGATCTTTAGAACTCATCGCTTCGTTCTCTTAGAGCACTCTATGATGGAGGAAAAAGTTTCACATGCTAAAACTCGTATGAGGAGATTCCTTCCTTCTGTGTTGATTTAATTCTAAGTCCTTCCCAGCAAAACGAACGATTCTCTGGAATAACTTTCTAACTTTCGTTTTTGCTGCACCACATTGTCTAATACAATTCTTGCAAAAATTACATCTTGTTTCTATATAAAGTCAAATTTTTCAAGTGCGGAGTGTTATGGAGAAGCGGGCCCAATACGCAAACTGGTTTAATCCTTCCATAAGGCAGGACCCAAAAATAGGCGTAGCTGGCCCAATTTTGTACAGTTCATTTTTGAATAAAATTACTATAATATTATGGGTCAAATTCGATCAACATGGTCCAATTTTAGTATATTTAATTTTTTTATATTAAATTACTCTTATGATGCAATTTTCTTCATGAAGCATTAAAAATTATACTT